GAGCTTTGCAGGGGCAGGTACCCCTTGCCTCTCCGTGCTGCCTGTACACCCAGGCAACCCACCCGTTCTGCTCTGTTCTGCTGCGGCTCCAGAGATAGTTCAGATATTTCTGTGCACTTGTGTCATGGTTTAACCCCAGCCGGCAACTAAGCACCACACAGCCGCTCGCTCACTCCTCCCTGGTGGGATGGGGGAGAGAATTGGCAGGGTAAAAGTGAAAAAACTCATGGGTTGAGATAAAGACAGTTTAATAAGTAAAGCAAAAGCCGCGCACGCAAGCAAAGCAAAACAAGGAATTCATTCACTACTTCCCATCAGCAGGCAGGTGTTCAGCCATCTCCAGGACAGCAGGGCTCCATCACGCGTAACGGTGACTTGGGAAGACAAACACCATCACTCCGAGCATCCCCCCCTTCCTTCTTCTTCCCCCAGCTTTATATGCTGAGCATGACGTCATATGGTATGGGATATCCCTTTGGTCAGTTGGGGTCAGCTGTCCTGGCTGGGTCCCCTCCCAGCTTCTTGTGCACCACCAGCCTCCTCGCTGGTGGGGTGGGGTGAGAAGCAGAAAAGTCCTTGACTTAGTGTAAGCACTGCTCAGCATTGACTAAAACATCCCTGTATTATCAACACTGTTTTCAGCAGAAATCCAAAACGCAGCCCCACACTAGCTACTATCAAGAAAATTAACTCTATCCCAGCCAAAACCAGCACAACTTACAGCCCTGAGCTGTGTAGTTTTAGCCCTGTTTGCCAACTGCACACTGATCAATAGCCGAAAACAGCTTGCTTATGCTTTCTGCTGCTCCTAGAGAGGGGTCTTGTTCACCCATCCAATGCATTGCGGTAGACCTATTCATCTTTTGATATCTTTACAGGTTCTGCTCCCTACACGTTGTTTTATGGACAACAGATAACATATGGGTGTGGGAAGCAAGGGGAGGAGATACGTGGAGGGATATTTTGATGTACGGTGCACCTGATTTATGCTGAGATCAATACTCTGATGTACTTAATTGGAAACTGAAGGCTTTGTTTTTAATGTAGTAAGAAAACCTGCCAGAACAGGCAGTGTCCTTTCAATTAAACGTAAGCCAGGCCACGTGCAAAATCATACTTTCTCTCACCTCCGCATTGATCTTGGACCACCTTAAGTAGCAGATTTGACATAAATTACAATTTTTCATATTCCAAAGACTGACAAACTGAAGCTGATAGTGATAACGTCAGCACTCAGAAGTATAGTTCCAGGTTCTCAAAAGAATAGGAGGGAATGATACCATCAGTGTTCAGAAGTATATGTAACACCCTGTAACAGTAATAGGGAAGAACAAAGGCAAACCATACATCAATAGTTAACCTTTAAAGTTAACCTTTAAGAAAGACAAGAATGACTTAGACTGAAGGACGCCAAATTGAAGAGGTGAGCAAAAGGACACAGTGAGGAAGACTATTGACGACCGCCAGAGGACCCTGAGAGACCACCAACGAACATAAGAGCGCATGCGTTAAAGACTTTTACATATGTTGATGAGTTCCAGGAAGTAACATGAATATGTTAATCACTACTAGGAAATCTAATGAATATGTATATTCTAATTGTATATAACTTCTGAAGTTGAACAACTTGGCG